GGGAAGTTGTGTCTGGAGCGACACGGGGCACACGCTTGGGATTTCTGGCTTGTTAGCCACTCATTTGTTCCACCCATGTTCAGCAAACACCAATTACGTGCCTGGAGAGCTGCCCGACTCGCTCTGCTCACCCCTCTGGCCCCAGTCGAATGTCGCTTTCTCAGAGTCTCCTCCCCCACCTCCTCCGTCTGCACTGACGCTCGCCTCTCCATCACCTCCACCTTTCTGTCCCAGCCGATATCGCCGCTTGTCCTGACGTATTTACTGGTGTTTGTTTGCTTTGTGTTTTGTTTTCTCTCCGAGATGGGAGTTCCAGGACGGCAGGGACAGTGTCTGTCTTGCTCATCACTGCATCCCCAGTCCTAGCGTTGGGTCTAGCACATAGGAGGCGCTCAATTAGTGTTTGTGGAATGAATGGGTGAAAGAATAAAAAGGATACAGAGAGGAGTCCGGTAGAAGATAAGTACATGAACAAATACAGCATAAGCTCAGCACGAAGCAAAGGGACAGGCAACTAGTTATGGGAGTTTGGGGTGGGAGAGGCTCCTTCCAGGAGGGTGGGGAGGTGACGAAAGGCCTCCTGGTGGAGGACATTTGCTGGGTCCGGAAGGATGAGGTGGAGGGAGGGGCACCTGGGGCCCTGGGGATAGCAGGAGCAAAGGCAGACCTGGAGGGGAGAAGAACCAGATTTTGCTTGAGGTGCCCCTAGGGCGGTGGTGGGGAGGAGCGGCCACCCAGGAAGCGTGGATCTGAGGCGGCTGCAGGAGCTCCGCACAGACCAGCTGGGCAGGTTGGGGAGAAGCAGATGTGAGGGGAGCGCAGGGTGAGAGGGGCCTCGGGTAGGCAGGGCAGGAGAAAGAAGAGCTGGGGAACCGGGGCAGGCCCGAGTGTGGCCCGGGGGTGGTGGAGGCAATGCCCCGCGAGAATGCACAGCCTTTACTCCCCAGCTCGGTTTATATCCTGCCTCTCCACGGTCCTTGGGGACTGCCGTCCGGCCGGCCCTGGCCCCAGGACCCCACCCCAGCCCCAGCTATGCCAGCTGCCTTCCCGCTGGCCTGGCCCAGCCCTCCAGAAAGGCTTCATGCAGCCAGTTGTCCAGGGAACACCATGCCCCACGCATTACTAATGTTAAAATATGAATCGATCACATCTGTAGCATGTTATGTTGAGCACACCTTCTTGTAATGCTTTGATTTTGCAATTATAGGTTTATTTTCTTCATTTCTCTTGAGCTTTTTAAGGTGTTTTCTGTCACTCAGCTGAAGACTTTAAATTTCCTATTTATATTAATGATCACATTATTTCGTATACGAGTCATTCAGCTCAGCCCTTTTTGGCTCCTTCTTGCACCTCTCACGTGTGGATTTATTAGGCAATTCAGCACCTACTTTCTTTTTTTTTTTTTTTTTTTTTTAGGAGACGGGTTTTTGCTCTGTCGCCCAGGCTGGGGTGCAGTGGCCGGATCTGAGCTCACTGCAAGCTCCTCCTCTCGGGTTCACGCCATTCTCCTGCCTCAGCCTCCCGAGTAGCTGGGACTACAGGCACCCGCCACTTTGCCCGGCTAGTTTTTTTTTTGTATTTTTTAGTAGAGACGGGGTTTCACCGTGTTAGCCAGGATGGTCTCGATCTCCTGACCTCGTGATCCACCCATCTCGGCCTCCCAAAGTGCTGGGATTACAGGCTTGAGCCACCACGCCCGGCCTTCAGCACCTACTTTCATGTGCAGACTCAATTGGTGAGATTTTACCTGGAGGGTGAGGACATGTCTTGGCCACGGGGCCCTGTTGCTCGCAGTCCCTGGGTCAGAGGATGGTGCCGGATGGGCAGGTGCTAAGGATGCACACACCGCCCTTGGGTTAGCGAGGGCGCACCTGTTAGCATGTGTGGTGTGCGGTCTCCTGTGAGGACGTCGGGTGCACCTGTTAGCATGTGTGGTGTGCGGTCTCCTGTGAGGACGTCGGGCTTAGCATGTGTGTGGTGTGCGGTCTCCTGTGAGGACGCTGGCACTCTGTTAGCATGTGTGGTGGGCGGTCTCTATGGTCTTTCAGCACAGTCCCCTGCCAGTATGGTGGTGTGGTCTCCTGGGAGACATCGGGCACCTGTTAGCATGGTGGTGTGCGGCCCCTGTGAGGACGCCGGCGCACCTGTTGTACATGTGTGGTGTGCGGAAGCCCCTGTGAGGACGCTGGGCACCCAGCATGGTGTGGTGTGGTCTCCTGTGAGGACGTCGGGCACCTGTTAGTATGGTGGTGTGTGGTCTCCTGTGAGGACATCGGGCACACCTGTTAGTATGTGTGGTGTGCGGTCTCCCGTGAGGACGTCGGGCACCTGTTAGTATGTGTGGTGTGCGATCTCCCGTGAGGACGTCGGGCACCTGTTAGCGTGTGTGGTGTGCGGTCTCCTGTGAGGACGTCGGGCGCCTGTTAGTGTGTGTGGTGTGCTGTTTCTAGGCAGAACCAGGTGGCTACTGGCCATCTCAAGCCAGCGCCGTGCTTCCTGTCCCAGACAGTGGGTTTATTTTGCAGGAACTCTGGCAAGACCCCAGGAGGACTCTGTATGGCTGGGTCTGGGTCACATGCCCAGCCCGGAGCCAATTACCCTGCCGGGGGGGTGGGGCTATTCTAATTGGTCGTCCTCATCACATTCACAAGGAAGAGGAGGAAGGAGGGGCCTCTTCTCTTGCCCAGGAGGACTGGGCATGACTACTTGGACCTGAAGAGTTATTATCAAAGAAAGGAAAGGAATGCTGGGTAGACAAAATATATGCCCATTGCAGAACACCAGCAGGGGCCCCCGGCCGTGGCTTTGGTAAAGGTGGTGGGTGCACAGCTGTCTGGACCCTGGAGCTCTGTGAGGGGTGTAAAGTTGTGAAGGTGCCATCTGCACGGCAGTGTGGCTGCGTTCTGCCATTCTCAGCTGTGCAGAGGACAAACACTCAGGCTTCATCACACCTTCGTGACTGGTGCCCCCTGGACCTTCACACAGAGCTGGCCTTTCCATGAAGCAGCCTCTGGACACACGTGGAAACCAGCCCCTCGCGGCCGTGCCTGCCCCAGGGACCGACTGAGATCAGCTCCGGTCGCCGACACGGTCCTCCCGTCTGTTCGGCCTCTGGTCTCTGGATCCGCACGTCTGGCCCTGACGTCTGCATCGAGCCCCTGTCCCTGCTGGGTTCAAGTCTCTTTTCCAGAAGCTTGACTTGGCTCAGGCATCTGCTTGATTTGGTGTCACTTGTGTTTCTGAACTTGGTCCTCCCGGCCTGTGGTCCTGCCAGGGGAAGAGCAGAGTGGCCAGGCTGGGCCCTGGCGAAGGAGGCGTCTGTTCTGCACACACGGCACACGTGCAGGACGGAGCTCAGCTGAGTGCCTGCACACCTGGGTGTGTGTGTGGGGTCCCGCTCACTCAGAGACGGCTGCTAGCACATTCCACGCTTTCTTTCTTTTTTTTTCTTTTCTTTTCTTTTTTTTTTTTTGATACGGAGTCTCTCTCTGTGTCGCCCAGGCTGGAATGCAATGGCACGATCTTGGCTCACTGCAAGCTCCACCTCCTGGGTTCAAGAGATTCTCCTGCTTCAGCCTCCTGAGTAGCTGGGACGACAGGGGCCCACGACCATGCCTGGCTAAGCCTCGGCCTCCCAAAGTGCTAGGGTTACAGGTGTGAGCCATTGTGCCTGGCCTCCCTATGAATTTTATTTTATTTTTTAAATTTTTTTTTTTTTTTTTTTTTGAGACGGAGTCTCGCTCTGTCGCCCAGGCTGGAGTGCAGTGGCGCGATCTCGGCTCACTGCAAGCTCCGCCTCCCGGGTTCACGCCATTCTCCTGCCTCAGCCTCCTGAGCAGCTGGAACTACAGGCGCCCGCCACCTCGCCCGGCTAGTTTTTTTGTATTTTTTAGTAGAGACGGGGTTTCACCGGGTTAGCAAGGATGGTTTCAATCTCCTGACCTCGTGATCCGCCCGTCTCGGCCTCCCAAAGTGCTGGGATTACAGGCTTGAGCCACCGCGCCCGGCCTATTTTTTAAATTTTAAGACAAGGTCTCACTCTGTCACCGAGGCTGGAGTACGGTGGCTAGATCATGGCTCACAGCAGCCTCAAACTCCTGGGCTCAAGCCCCCCTCCCACCTCAGCCTCCTGAATGGCTGGGGCTACACCATTGCCACCAAGCCCGGCTACTTTTTGTGTTTTTAGTAGAGATAGGGTTTCACCATGTTGGCCAGGCTGGTCTCGAACTCCTGACCTCAGGTGATCCGCCCGCCTCAGCCTCCTGAGTAGCTGGGGTTACAGGCGTGAGCCACTGCACCGGCCTCCTTCCACCCTTTCATATAACCAGCAGCACATGTCAGCACTTCTCAGCGTTTTTACTGCAGGATCTTTTCTTCAAATGAAATCCTACCTGGAAGCCTGACAGATGAAGACGAAAAAGCAGAGTTGCTTTGGGTTGAGCTGTAATAACCCTCCTTGTTCCCAGCCCCCTGCTTCTACCTTCACAGTCCTGAAGATGGTACCCGGCACCCCTGGCTCCTTGGAACCCAGTTTGACAGCCTCTTGGCGATTATATCCCTCTGTCTGTCTGTCTCTCGGCAGCACCTGCTGCTACTCCCATGGGGATACGTTGCTGGTGATGTTTTGTTTTTTTTTTTAAAGCATCAAAACATTTTCTTTTTTCCATCAGTAGCTTGTTGGCACCATGAAAAGGTCAACAAAGAGATCCTTGTCATCCTCCTCCTCCTCTGCAGGAGGACGTCAGGCTGCAAACGTTCCCTCGCTGTGCCAGGGTTCATTTCATTACCCTTGTCCTCCTGGAGGCACCTCCGGGAAGCTGCTCCGTTTGCACGTCTGTCAGGTTATGTGTGCTTCAGTTTGCCTTCCTCCCGAACAGCCGCCCCCAGAAGGGGCCCGGTCCAGGCAGCCGGGGCTTCGGGAAGCGATGGGATGCTGACGCCCTGTTCCCACCCCCACTGCTGTAAGGACTATATTGGATGCCTTTTCAGAAAATGTGCCCTTTCTAACCAAAAAAAAAAAAATGCTTGAAATGTGTAAAAGTGGCCAGACGAGCATTCCCACAGAGGGCTGCGGTCTAAGAGGAAGCGTCCCAAGTCTGCTCAGTTTTGGACTCCGTGACTGGGGGACGTGGTGGGGCCTTGCCTGGCTTGCGTCCACGAGGAGAATCCAGGCCTTGGTTTGGCTCCAGCTGGGCCTGCCTGGTGCTGCCACTTATTGACTTAAGTCCCGGTGATTCAGCTCCTCATCTGGAACGCCCGCGGGTCTCCCCTGACAGCGCTGGTGGGAGGGAGAGCGGCCTCCTCCTCCCCTGTGCGGGGCCTTGTCTGGGTGAAGCCCCTCCGTTCCCGGTAGGTGTCTGGGTCTCATGGCTCCCCTGGAGCGTTGAAACCTGGGAAGACGCCCCCGTTTTCCTGGAGTCGGGGCCCAGTTCATGCAGGGATTCTCCCAGAACTTTGCTAACTTCCAGGGAAAAGGTTTGTGTCTGCGCTGGGAGAGCGTCTGGTTAATCGTTGACTGGAAACTCGCTTTTCCAGGCTGCCCCAGGTCCTCAAGAGGCAGCCGGGGCTGGAGAACAGGCCTCGTGCCCCGCTGGTGCCTCCAGTGCTCTTTCCGTGTGGTCCTTTGAAACACCCCAGTGGACAGAGATGGATTTGGGGGTGCGGGGTTGTGAGCTAGCAGCAGATGGGCCTGGGGTCAGGCAGAGAATGGGGGCCACGCGGCTGAGCAGACCGGAACATGCTGCTTGTATTGCCTGTTACGCTGTGGGCAGGACCGGCCCAGGGGCTGCGGGCTCTGCGCTCCCTCCCCTGGGATACTCACCTTCGGTGACAAGTCCCCAGATAACTGTGAGATGGGGCCAAAACACCCAAGGGCCCCAAAGAAAGCAAAAAAATAAAGTGCCAAGGCCACGTGTCTTAGAGCAGGAGGGGAGTTTTGAAGACTTTAGAAGGCCGTGTGGCCAGCGGACTTGGTCAGGAGCAACTGTCAGGACTAAGCACTCGCCAAACCCACACGCAGGGGCCCGTTCCAGGACCCTTGCCCCTCGAGGTGCTGTTCCATTTACAACCTATATATAGGTTTACCTCATCAGGCACACAGACAAGCATTTCAGTGTTTTCCTGTTGATTTATTTTCATGTGTATTAGAGCATAACTTGTTTTTTTTCAGTTGCCTTCTATTTATGGCATATGGGATGGTTTTTCTATTTATGGCGGAGATACGAAGTTTCCTTTGAAAATAAATTTGTTCAAGTAAAAGAGTGGGTTGATTTAAAGGGAAATATTAAGTAAAGAATAGTACAGGGGCCGCACGGGGATGGCAGGTGGCACGTGGATGCCCGTGCTTTGGAAATTGCGTGCTGCAGGAATTGAGAGATGAGAAAAAGAAAGGCTCATGGAAGAGACAGTTGGGGTGCGGGAGAAGTGAAACCCAGCTAGGTGGAGATGGAGGGTGAGTCTGTACTTATAGGTCCAGAAATGTGGGCACGATTCTTGGTGTGGTCTATTTTGGCTGCAGCAGGCAAGTCCCACAGGGAACAGAGGGTAGGGTGGGACTGTATTGTAGAGGACCATCGGTCTCAGGGTGTGGCCTCTGAACTTTTCAGGAGGCAGTGGGAGCCATTGAGGGTGCTTGAGGAGGGGAGTGTTTCTTGACAGTCCTTGAAGAGTCTCATTTTACCAGGACTGAAGGCAGATAACCAGTCAAGGGCCCAAGTAGAGAGGGTTTCAGAAGCCAGACTAGGGCCATAGCCAAAGACAAGCCGCCCAGCCACCCAGGCCATCCCTTACTGGCTTGGAGGGCAGCCTAGAGGCGCTGGAGAGAGGCGGTTCGGAGGTGGACGAGCTGAGCCCTGGCCCTCTGTGGGGAGGCCGTGGGTGATGGGCAGGTCAGAAGTTGTGCGTGGAGTCCTGGAAGGGAGGGGCATCTTCTCCTGGCTGGGCTGGGAGGAGATGGTGAGAGCTACTCAGTGACCTCTTCCTGGAGCCTCCTGGCCTAGCACGGAGTGTTCTGGAATGTTCTGGAATGTTCTGGGGGAAGTGGGTGCGGTCGGCTGAAGGAAGCTGCCTCTGGGCCAGAGTTCATTTGGGAGGAGGAAGCCTGCTGTTTCCTGCCCTCTGGTTTGGCCCAGATGCCCTTGGCTGATGGCCCCAGGCCGGGATTTCATTCATCATCAGGGTCTGCCGTTGTTTTAAACTCCCATTTCATCTTCTTAGTGTGGAGAAGTTCACCAGCATTCAGGGACCAGCTTAGTTTAAAAAACAGGTTTGTTTTGTTTTGTTTTGTTTTGTTTTGTTTTGTTTTGTTTTGTGAGGGCTTGCTACATACCAGATACTGTGTTTGGAACTATTTTTTTTGTTGTTGTTTTTTGGAGATGGGGTCTCGCTATGTCACCAGGCTGGAGTGCAGTGGCGCGAACTCAGCTCACTACAACCTCCGCCTTCTGGGTTTAAGTGATTCCCCTGCCTCAGCCTCCTCAGGAGCTGGGATTACAGGCACACACCACCACGCCCAGCTAATTTTTGTATTTTTAGTAGAGATGGGGTTTCACCATGTTGGCCAGGATGGTCTCGATCTCTTGACCTCATGATCCGCCCACCTCGGCCCCCCAAAGTGCTGGGATTACAGGCGTGAGCCACCGCGCCCGGATAATTTTTGCATTTTTAGTAGAGATGGGGTTTCATTATGTTGGCCAGGCTGGTCTCAATCTCGTGATCCGCCCGCCTCAGCCTCCTGAAGTGCTAGGATTACAGGCGTGAGCCACTGCGCCCAGCCTGGAACTTTTACTCGGTTACCACAATTCACTATGGACAAAACCTGTTGAGAAATGCATTATTTATTACCTCTGTCGTACAGAGGGAGAAATGGAGTGGAGGGACATGTAACAAGCCCCACAGTAAACCACTGGTGAGCTGTAGAGTCCAATTGCAAACTTACGCCTCTGAAAAGAAGGCCGTGTGTGCAGTAGTGAGGCTGTGGACACGCTGTTTAACTTGGAGGAAGCTAATTGGCCTCTGTGGGCCTGTGTGTGGGTGTGGGCTGTCCCTGCAGTGTGCTGGGCACATCTGTAATATCGGGGTGCTGAGGGCACCCGCTGGGATTGCAGGGGAGATTGTGAGTGATGATATAGGTAAGGTGTTATAGAAATGTCAGCTACTGCTGCTGTTACTGTATAAAACCAGAGTTGCAGAATCCTGGACTCGATTTTACTGGAAGACATTTTTGGAAGGGATATCTCTTAGGGTGGAGCAGAAGCATCATTCTCATTAAATTGAATTACTAATTAGTACATTTTTAACATTTATTTCTATTAAAAAGTTTTTTTTATACAGATGGGGTCTTGCTACATTGCCCAGGTTGGTCTCGAACTCCTGGCCTCAAGCAATCCTCCCACTTTGGCCTCCTAAAGGGTTGGGATTACAGGCGTGGTCCACTGTGCCCAGTCATTTTAATTTTAAAAATCATCGATATATGGTGGGATAGAATGTGAATTTCACCTTAAAGCCGTTTTGAGTTTGGGCTGGCGATTTCTGGGCACACTCCTGGCCCCTGGATGTTGGGAGATATGGGTGACATGGGGAAGGGGAGGGTCTGTTCACTGTCCTCTCTTTTCAGCCTGACTTTAGTGAAAGCTCGAGGTGCACTTGGCTATTTCTACGGCTTCAGCCCTCCTAGCTCTGCCCAAGATGGTGCCAGCGAGCTGTGACGTCAGGGCAGTCACTAACCTGCCCAGACCAGTTTCCCTCCCGCCCAGCTACCCTAGTTCCCTGAGTGAGTTTCCTCTTCCTTTCTGGCACTTCTGGGAGGACAGTTCTCTCCCTGGAATGCAGCCTTCTGCCTGCCAAGTCCCTCCTTTTCCCTCTGAGCGCTGCACCACGTTCTTCTCTTTGAAGCCCTCCGGGACTGCCACAGAGCAAGATCTTCCCTGCGCCTTCTCTTTGCTCCCGGTGTTCTTTGCATGGCCCCAGCATTTATTGGAGCCACTGTCCGAGTCCTTCAGGATTCATCTTGTGCACCGTGCAGTATGCACTGGTTCTTCGGAGGCAGCACAATGGAGGTGACCCTTCTCCCCGTGCACCTTCCAGAGATTGACACGTAAACAAAGAAATAAACACAGATTCCAGCTGTGATGCCTGTGATGAAGGATAAGAATTGGGGCCCAGTATTTGTTGACCTTTCAACGTTCTGCACTCCCAAGGGAGGGCTGCGTGGTGGGGATGGAACACAGGCGTGGACAGTATGTACCTTCCTCCTTTAGCAAACAGGGATGACGAGCTCCTGTGGTTAATCCACACAAAAGCGTTCGGGACAGTGTGACACCCAAAGGTAATATTAGTGGCATGGCAAGATTCTTCCCCGTTGATGATGATGGATGTGGTATTTTTTTTCTCTATGAAGAAGAAAATTTAAAATTTTTTCATTGCATTTGGTAGCACTTTTTTGTTTTTTTGAACAGTGTTAGGATTACAGAAAAAAATTAAACAGGAAGTACAGAGTTCCCGTCTAACCTTTTACCTCTTTCAATTTCCTATGATTAACATCTTGCTTTGGTGTGGTACACTGGTTACAATAAACGTGGTAATACTGATACATTATTATTAACCAAGATGTATAGTGTACACTTAGGGTTCTATCTTGCAGGTGTAGGTTCAATGGGCTTCAAAAAATGTGTAAAGACGTGTAGAGAATAATAACTTCACTGCCTTCCAAATCCCCTGCAATCCATTTCCTCGTTCTTCCCGTTCCACCCCCAAATCCCTGGTCTTTTTCTTGTCTCCATAGTTTGGCTTTTTTCAGAATGTAATAGACGTTGTTGGAACCGTGCCGTAAGTAGCCCTTACAGACTGGTTTCCTTCTCTTAGCAGCATGCGTTTAAGATTCCTCCATGTCTGTCTGTGGCTTGCCAGCTCTTTTTTGTTTTTTTTTTTAAACTCCTTCTTGCAGAGAAGGGTTACCCTATAGACAGTGTGCCCAGAGTAGCCTCATTTTTCTTTTTCTTTTTCTTATTTTTTTTTTTCTGAGATAGAGTCTTGCTCTGTCGCCCAGGCTGGGAGTGCAGTGGCCGGATCACAGCTCACTGCAAGCTCCGCCTCCCAGATTCACGCCATTCTCCTGCCTCAGCCTCCCGAGTAGCTGGGACTACAGGTGTGTCCCACCACGCCTGGCTAGTTTTTTGTATTTTTTTAGTAGAGACATGGTTTCACCGTGTTAGTCAGGATGGTCTCGATCTCCTGACCTCGTGATCCGCCCCCTTCGGCCTCCCAAAGTGCTGGGATTACAGGCTTGAGCTACCTCGCCCAGCTCATTTTTCTTTAAATTAATTAAATTAATTAATTTTTTTTTTTTGTAG